CTAAAATTAAATTTACAAAAATATAGTTAATAAATGTTTAAAATACTTTAAACAATTTTTAATAATTATTTACTGATAGCGTGTTATTTGCAACAAAAGCATTTATTAAAGTCTTATTTTAAAATTTTTCTTAGTAGGTATGTATTTTTTATGATAATTTTAAACGATTGAAACTATTTTCCATGTCTTTCTAAAAATCTTTTAAAAGATTATTTTTTTAAGTTACTTATTAATAAGTTATTAACAAATCTTCCCATGATTTAATTTTTTTTTTTTTTTGTTTCTATTTTTAAAAAGAATTGTTTACAAGTTTAAAACTTAACTTACTAATCAAAGCATGAAATGATTATGATTAAAAACAATACTTTAAAAAGGTTTATTGATTTTTTTAAACAATTTTTTTTTGCAACTTTTAAAAAAAAATGTTTATGTTAATAAATAGTTAAAATATTATATTTTTTTCTTTTTAATAATTTAATTTCACTTTTCAATAACTTAAATAAAACAATTTTATTTAACAAACAACCAATTAATAAGTGTAATAAAATGTTTAAGTTACAAAAAAGTCAATAAAAATATATATATTTGAAAAGCCTATACACACTTTTTGCATCATTTACAATAAAATACTTCATATTGCATACTGTCTTAATGTTTTTGACAAACTAAAAGAAATCAATCAGTGCTTATTATAAATGTGGTTTTAAATTTTCCATTTTGTTTTCTAAAAAATTAGTTAATTTAACACTGTAAAAAAAGAAAACACTTTAAAATAATCAAATAAAAAACTATAATAGGGTTATTCCATATCAAATCACCTAGTTTTTTGAAAGTTCCCCAGGGTACCATCTCAGATTTGCTTTAAACTTTGACCAAAACTTTGTTTTTTTTCAATTTTTGACAAACCATAACTTTTTAAATAAAGATGGTGATCACCTGAAATTTTGTAGAATAATAGTTTGTCACCCAAATAATCCATTATTGCAGTTGTTTTTGACTGATTTTATACAGTTTTTGAGTTATTGTACCTTAAAGTTGCTAAATATAGCACCATTATAAATATTTTTTCGAACTTTAACGTGTTGCAGTTTCATACTTAATTACAGAAAGTGGATTTTTTGTTACCTTTTTGTACTTAGGGTCACCACTTGTTAGAATAATCAAAATTATGCATTAAAAATTAATTTAGCACATGCAGCAGCCTATTGAAAATTCACATTTTTTTGAAATTATGATAAATTACATTTACTTTGCTGGCATAGAAAGTAACGTAAACAGTTGAAACAAATTATGCAAATTTTTAATGTTGAGGTTCTATATATAGACAATCACCAAAAAAAATTCAAAGACCTATATTCTCTCTTATGACATGATTGTAGACTTTGGAGAGTGATAATATTTTCAAAAGGAGAATGTTATTAGACTATGAGCTAACCTTAGGTCATAGACTAATAATTAGTCATAGGGATGACAGTAGTATTTTTTTTATTTTATCTGTGAATATGTTCAGTTTTCTTTTTAATGACATAATGTCTTAATTTGTACTAATAATAATGACATAATCAGTGTCATAATCAGTGTCTGATATTTGTTAGTTTCTTTGAGATTTAATATGTTTATGTCTTTTTTAAACTTTTAAGATTAGTAATAAAAATAAAAAAATAGTAAAAAATGACAGAGAAATCCTGTGTGGGGAAAGTTTTAAATAAAGATTGTGACAAAACGTATTATTGTAGAATGATAGCAAGAATAAAACTAAAAGATATTGCACGCACAGATGCTGAAGTTTTAATTCAAATTGGACACACTTTTGAACTAAATGAGATGTTTTCACCATGAAAAAGCCTATATTTCTAGATATGAAACGCTTCAAAAATACTGCTGTGATCCGTTTAAAGTCCACAAGAAAAAAATTATTAAGAGATTGTGTAAAGTTGATAATTTAACAGCAAGTCAACTTAAGATCTTTTTGAATGAATTCAAACTTGAACAAATTACAGGAAAATTTAGTCAAGAAGATGAAGACAAAGATGTTGATGATGAGGAGTTTAGTTCTTCAGACCTAAATAAGATAGTTTTAAATAAGAGTGCTTCTCTACTGGAAATATCTCCTCTAAAAAATGTAAGTAAACGTGACAAATTAGAATATGGAAAGCAAAAAGTTAAAAACTGGAAACAAGTATAACAAACCTAGTAGATTCAGCATTGGATATAGACCCAAAAGAAATAATATCTGAGAAAAAGCAAAAGTGCATTAACTGTAATGATTTAGACAAACTTTTAGATGTAATAAAGGGAAAAGGAAAAATTAGTTTGAATGAAGAAAAAGTTCAATTACTAACATTAACTCCTGATAGTTAGTCAATTAAAAAAACTTGCAATGCATTTTCAGTTTCAGACCATCTTGTTAAGAAAGCCAGAAAGCTAAAAAATAAAAAGGGAATACTTGCTAAACCTGAGGCTAAAAAAGGACATCCTTTGGAGGATATGTTAAGCAGAGAGTCATTGAAATATTTGAATCTGACGAATACACTAGACAATGTCCAGGAAAAAAAGACTTTGTTTCTGTGCGTATAAATAATGTTAAAGTTCGTAAACAAAAACGCTTAATATCAGTTTGTTTAAAAGAACTTCATCTGGATTTTAAGAAGTTATACCCGGAACACAAAGTTGGATTCAGCAACTTCTGTGAACTAAGGCCAAAGTGGTGCCTTACTGTTGATAGTAGTGGAAGCCACTCAGTTTGTGTATGTTCTTACCATCAAAATGCTAAGTTGATGTGCTCTGCTCTTCCTAACAGCCATTTAATATATTACAAAGATTTAATGAAAGTATGTGTTTGTAATATAGATAGTCAAAACTGCATGTTTTATCTATGTTCCAACTGCCCTGGTAAAATAAATTTGAAGACTTACTTGGAAAATATGTTTGAAAAGAATGATTTTGATTTTGATTATCAGATCACATATAAACAATGGGTGTCAACTGACCAAACTGCACTTATTACAGTCCAAACAAGCATTAGTGAATTTATTGAAACTATAAGTGAAACTTTGTATGACCTTTGTCACCACCACTTTATCAAAGAAGCACAGTCTTCCTACTTAACAGAGGCAAAACAAACATTAGACCAATATACCTGCATTATTCTGATGGATTTTGCAGAAAACTATAGTTTTCTTGTACAAGATGCTATACTAGGGTTTTATTGGCAAGCCGATCAAGTTACCTTACACCCATTTGTTGTTTATTACAAAGATAAAAAAGATCAACTTAAGTGTGAATGCTATTGTTTAATTTCTGACCATCTTTGTCATGACCAATCAGAAGTTCATTGTTTTCTCACAAAGTTGCTCCCTATGGTCAAAATCAAACTATCCACAGTGAATAAAGTAAAATACTTCAGTGATGGTGCTGCGTCACAGTATAAAAACTACAAATGTCTAATAAACTTAATTTATCACATTGTAGATCACCAAATAAATGCTGATCATCACTTCTTTGCTACGCCACATGGCAAAAGTCCATGTGATGGAATAGGAGGTACTATAAAAAGAGAAACAGCAAAAGCTAGTCTACGAGCAGCAATTACAAATCAGATTCTCACACCACAAGATCTGTTCACATGTGCTCAAAAAAACATCAAAGGTGTTAACATATTTTATCTTTCAAGTGACGATATCAATAACCATAAAACAACTTTTAACCTTTAGAAACGATATGAAGGGATGCGCACAGTTCCGGGATAGAGAGAAATTGTTTTTACGAAGAATCTCTAGTGATACTGTCTATGATACTCATGTGTTAAATGATGTTTATTTGATTAAAAAAAATCCTTCAAATTTTCAAACCGGTAAATATAATGCATGCTTTTATGATGAAGAATGGTACGTAGGGCTTGTGTTTGATATTTGTAATGAAAACCATGACGTTAATGTAAAGTTTATGCAAAGAAACAAATTAAACTTAAAATGGACAAACGATGCACAATCAAGTCAGTGTTGGGTTCTATTTGACAAGATAATATGTTAAATGAGTGTTCCATTGATTAAAAGTATAAGTGCTCGTGACTGTATTCTTGCTAGTAATGACTATGACAGTATTATGAGTTTTATAAATCAGAGATAAGCTAATTAGTTTCATGTATACATACTTTTTCTTTTAACTGATTATCTTACTCTTTGAATGCACTTTTTTACAGTATAGTTTATATAAAATTTAAGGTAAAAATTTTGTATGTAGTAAGTGGTATTTTTTTGTTCTCCTTTTAAAAATATCATCACTCTCAAAAGGCTACAATCATGTCATAAGATAGAGTATAGGTCTTTAAATTTTTTTTGGTGATTGTCTATATATAGAACCTCAACATTAAAAACTTTCATAATTTATTTCAACTGTTTATGCTACTTTCTATGCCAGCAAAGTCGATGTAATTTATCATAATTTAAAAAAAAAGGGATTTTTTAATAGGCTGCTGCATGTGCTAAATTAATTTTTAATGCATAAATTTGATTATTCTAACAAGTGGTGACCCTAAGTACAAAAAGGTAACAGAAAAATCCACTTTCTGTAAGTAAGTATGAAACTGTAACATGTTAAAGATCGAAAAAATATTTAGAATGTTGCAATATTTAGCAACTTTAAGGTACAATAACTCAAAAACTGTAAAAAATCAGTCAAAAACAACTCCAATAATGGATTATTTGGGTGAAAAACTAATATTCTACAAAATTTCAGGTGACCACCATCTTTATTTAAAAAGTTATGGTTAGTCAAAAATCAAAAAAAACTGCTGTAAGCTCCTGATACACAAATTTTTTGGATTTTAGTCATTTTTAAATCAATCATAACTTTTGAACAAATTGATCAATCAAGCTAAAATTTTCTGGATTGTATTTTTTTCATAAGATCTGTGTCAGGTCAAAATTTAAAGTAATTCTGAGGTGGTACCCTGGGAGCTTTTAGGTGATTAGATATGTAATAACCCAATAATTATATACCTTGATGCTCTTCTTCAACCGAATACATCTCCTAAAATAACATTTTTTTAAACTATATAGATAATATCACATGTGAGTTTAGGTTCTTAAGTTAAAAAAAAGTATAAAAGAAAAAAATTTAAATTGTTTGATAAAAAAATGTTTTAGCTTTTTTTAAGTAAATTTCTTTATTAGTTTTTTTGTAGAACTGATGCATTAAAATCAAAAAATCAAGGGTGCAGCCCAATCTAATTCTTTTTTTTTTTTGTGGCAAGCCTTTTCAGAATGGGATATTCTGAAAATGGTTGCTCTGGCTCTATTAACGTTGGTTTATAATTTTACTTTTTTAAGTATAATTTTATATTTTTTTATTTTTATTCTCAACTGAACATTTTACGCTGACAAAAAATCAATTGCATTTTGAAATCTAAAAATAAAATTTATTACTTCCCAATGGTTTAAATAATTTGAGGTTGAAAATTGTCATTATTTTTGACTGGGAACACTAGGGTATTTCATTCCCGATAGTTTTTCGAAAATGATTAGGTGTTTTTTGCTTATTATTACCTGTTATTGCATAACAGGGTTAATAATAAGCAAAAAACATCTGTATAATTTTTTAAATTTTACAATATCATCTAGAGGCCGCCTTTAACAAATTCACTCAAATTATCAGCAAAGAATTTTTCAGAAGATACAGTATCTGTGGTCAAACATTCTCATCTGTGACAAACCAATGATATGTTTGCCAACAGCTTATATTTAATCCACAGACTTAATGATCTACTTAATGATGTAACTATAACATCCATGTCAGTATAAACTGTGCGTTGTCAAAGACAAAATGCGCTGGAGAAAACAGTCAATAAAAGTCTGACTGATTAGGTCAATTAAAGCTGACTGAGAAATAAACAGAACAAAAAAGGCCATTTTGCACAGGATTTAAAGTGCAATTCTATGTGAAAACACCCAGGACATGCAACCCTAAGTCTCAGATTTTGCTAATTTTTACCCCACTTAAAAATCTTGATAATTATGAACAGAAATTGAAAAAATCAAAGGAAAAAGTACTCTTAGACGCTTCACTTATTACGTTGATTCATATGTTTATTTTTTGTTGAATTTTCCTGAGGTTATTGAGCCGTAAATCTTATAACTAAAAAAAAAATTTCTGTAAATAAAAAAGCAGAATAGTCTGAATACCAAATAGTAAACAATGTTACTAATATATATACCAACAGTATATAAAATAATGACATCTTTAGAGAAATCTTTAAAGCATTAAAAACATGTTTTAAACATTTAACTAAATTAAATTTGATTGAGGATTAAGAAAGAATAAATTATTTTTCTTTTTATAAAACGCTTCTTCTTGCGGTTATGGCTTTCAACTTTTTTGCTCCATGTAATGAAACCTTCGTTAAGATAAAAAGAAAAGACACAAAACTGATATTAAAAATTTCATCTGCTAAAATTCATTCTTGTGTTACTCGTCATTCAATCAAGTCTAATCCTTTTTCTATCACTGTTCCTAAGTGCTCCAAAAACTTTTATTCGTCTAGCTTTTTTCTTTGAACATTAGTTCTTTGGAATTGGCTTCCTTCATCTTGCTTTCCTGATTCATATAATTTGCAGTCTGTCAACAGGCTTGGTTGGGAAACGGGAGCGATCGCTCTCGATTGCTGACCACGTAAATAATACTTAGTTGCAAAAAGCTGGCCAGATTTTTTAGTCGTTTTGAGAACATTTTAAAAAGCAAAAAAAAAAAGCGCAAAAGATTGGACCGCTGAGAGACAATTACAAAAAGAAAAAAAAATTAGGCTAATAAAATATCTTTAAACGCAAAAAAACTTAAAGCTAAACAAATTACATTTAGAACAAATATTTTCGAAACATCGCTCTTTTATAATTTTTTTATAAAATTAAGCGATGTTTTTTATATAAAGTAACAACTTACGATTGTTTAAAAAGGAAAAAAATGCTCTTTATTTAGCAAAGTTTGCAAGTTTTAGTTTTATTTAAGCTAAATTATTTTATAAATAAAAAAGTTAATTTTTTCAATACCTATTTTATGTTTCGCGTAGTTTGAAAAGTGTAACATATTTGAAGCAATTCTTCTTAGTAAGATAAACAAATGAAATAATTAAATCATTGAATTACTATAGAAATTAAATTAACAAGATAGAAATCAACTTAAAAGGTTAATAATACTTTATGACGAGGAAGCGACACTGCTTCATAATATTGATAATGATGTTTATTGAGTGGGTTTTTTAATTTTAATTAGTATTTAAAGCAGAAAAAAGTATAACGAGTTTTAAGAATGGCAACTTAAGCGAAAATAATTAGAGTTGGTAAACCAACATCTAGAAACTTTTCTTTATATCTAATTATTTGCTATATATATTTGTGTTCGCGGATGAACAAGCACCTCAGGCGTGGTGCTTATTCATCCGCGAGTTACTTTGTATGCGTTGTTTGTTTAGTAAGCAGAAACTTCTTATATGTTTGTTACATAATTAGTTTTATTAACTTTAACGATTATAGCTTCATTGAAAACGCAATTATTTTTGTAAGTCTTTGTTTAAATCATAAAAATTGCTTTAAAAGATACATTACGATAAAAAACAAATACACAAAATTACATTTACATAAAAAATACAATCTCTTTTAAAATAAAAAATAAGAATATACTAATAAAATCTATAATTTATAATAAACTTTTAAAATTTTAACAATTTAATATATATTTAAAATAGGTTAAGCTACAGTTACGCGGCCTAAAATAATCATATTTTTGCACTTGTTGCGCCAGGGGCTTTTGCTACATCGATTATCTTATAGCCTGACTCATAATGGAGTGCTGCTGCATCGACTATCTTATAGCCTGCTGCTACAAGGAAGTGCTGCTACATCGACTGAGGGTTTGGCATAGGGCAGCAATTTTTTTTCTTTTATTATTTCAATTATATTCCTATTGTTTGTAAAGCCTCTACTGACAAGCGGAATAATAAAATTATTTTAGGCCGCGTAACTGTAGGATTACCTTAAAATATTTATTTTTGTAAACATATAATATGTATTTTATAACAAGAAAACTAGAAATCTCAAAACGCAACAAATCGTTAATAATACAATTTCTAAAACATTTCAACAGAATACTCTAGAACTTTATTAAGTCAGCGTATTTTTTGAACCAATAGAATTGGTTTCTTCGTTAATTTGGCGGGTTTTTAGTGTTCGCGATTATTCTTTTTATTCTTTCGCACAAAGATGTTTTGAGAACATTCAAGTTTATTATGTTTCCATGTATGTCTGTAAAACAAAAATTTGTTTCGTACATAAACTTAAATGCTCTCAAAACGACTAAAAACCTGGCCAGTTTTTCGCAACTAAATATAATTTCCATGGTCAGTATTCGAGAGCGATTGCTCCTGCTTCCCGACCAAGTCTGTGTCAATCGTTATCTTGCTCTATAAACTTTATCTTTTCTCTTCCAGTAACTTTCAACTCTAATAGCGGTTACTTGCAGCCTTGTTGGAAAGGAAGATATTGGAAAAAAAATCAAACATTATACCACTATGCACACTGATTTAAAAACAATTTAAAATACAGTTTTTTAAAGCGTAATTTAAAGAATGTTAGTAGCTAATTATTTTCAACAGTTTCTTATGATTTTAACAGTATAAAAAAATAAGTACAAAAATAATAGATTTAAACATTAAATTATGTTTGAAAGTGATTGAAAACATTTTTTTTTTTAATATTAAAATTTTATCATTATAAAAATTTTCTCCATAAATAAAAAAACCTTTTACTTTTTATTATATGCATAGATAATAGATAATTTTATCTTATTCATAAAAATATTTAAATATGTATTTATACATCCTTTAAAAAATGCATTTAAAAAATGCAAACTTAATGAAATTAAACAAATTTTTATAGAGCTAGGACATTTTACCTTTAACTTTGCAACTTGACTTTGCGAAGCCAACTTGCCCCATTTTAAAATAATGTGGTTTTAAAAAGATCATTCTATAAAAAAACTAGTGACCTAAAAGTTAATACAACTTCAATTTTTATGCTTAAGAGATTTTCCTGAAGTTTCTGAACAAAACCTAAGGAAAAACTCTCAAAACATTAAAAATTTTAATGTGAATATATATATATATATATATATATATATACATATATATATATATATATATATATATATATATATATATATATATATATATATATATATATATATATATATATATATATATATATATATATATATATATATATATAGTATATATATATATATATATATATATATATATATATATATATATATATATATATATGTATATATATATATATATATATATATATATATATATATATATATATATATATATATATATATATATATATATATATATATATATATATATATATATATATATATATATATATATATATATATATATATATATATATATATATATATATATATATATATATATCAAGCCTCACCAGGAAAGGCATGCGGGTTTTTTTCTCATACGACCACGAAAACGTTTTTTAAGTTAGAGAACATGATCACGGCTATTTGACGGTTTTAGGCATTAAAATGGTTTTCGGCGTTAAAAAAGATGACTTTCCCATATTTTATGTGTTTTTTCGTTTAAAGAGGAAAGAGAAAATATGTATCATCATCTGTTTGTAAAATATATTTGTATAATTATAATGTAACAAGTTTATATCAAGAACTAAATTATATGATCGCAATTTGCAAACTCTGGTAAAATATTAGGTCTTTAAAATTTTAGTTGATGCATACTTTGTTTATAAGGAGCAAATTATTAAAAGTTTGCTAGCAAGAAAGTTACAAAAAACAAAACAAAAACAATAAACTTACAACTACAAAAGTAATAACACTTTGGTCACTAACTGCATTATAAAAGTAATAAAACTATAATAGTGTTATTACATTTATATTGCACTTGTTATTTTTAAAGTTCATTCTTTGTTCTAACAACATTATTAATTCCAAACATTTAT